AGCATATCATATCAAGCTACCAACTAGCAGTAAATCTGTTTGGCAGCTAGAATAACTGTCAAATAGGCAGCAAGAGGTATTAAAAAAATCCAGAAATCGAGCTTGGCCCAATCAACTCGGCTTGGTAAAGCTCGGGTCGAACCTTAATTTTTTTGGCCGAGCAACGGGCCAAAAAAAGCCCTCCTTCGAAAAGCTCGAGTTGAGCCCAAGCCAAAATTTTTGGCTCGCTAGTCGGCTCGACTCGGCTCGTTAACATCCCTAAGTACAAGGTTTAATTAATCATAAATCATGTTTTAATTATATATATTAATATTATAATTAACCCATCCCAAGCCCTAAATTTGTTTCACTTTTTGACTCTCTCTCATTTCTCGTCGCTCACGACTCATCGCCACAGGTAGCGATCTAAGATCGGCTTTGCTCGACGCCATTGCAGTCGGAAGTAACTACTGCTATACCCAACAATCGCTCACATTGTGTGCGCAGTGTTGATGTCCCTATATCGACAACTCACGACACCTCGCTACAGGTGGTGTTCAGAGATCGACGTTGCTCGACGCCGTTGCAACCGGTGGTGACTACTGCCACTCTTAATAGTCACTTTTCCCGTGCCTCCACTTCCCACTTTTTTGATGCATCCACTCCTCGACATCGTTGCAATCGGTCATCAGTAGCAGCTTTTCCAATTCATCGACTCCCAAGACCTAGGCACAATGTCGCCACATAGTGGAGAAGCTCTGCCACTACTTAGTTTAAGGGTTGTGATTTGAGGCGATGGTGGTGGTGACGAAGATAGATTTGGGGATATTCTTTGGTGGAATTTGAGGTGAAGGTGGTGTTTTGTTGGATCTCATACTGTGATTTTTGTTGTTGGTGGTGGTGTAATCTGACGGTGGCAATGGGGCTTCTGTAGTTGAAAATCGTGATTTTTTAGTGGTTGTGGTAGTGAGATGGTGTGATTTTGAAGTTGAAAATGAAATTTGTTGGAGACGGTGATGGTGGTGATAAAGTGGCACTGCCGCTAACTGTCAGAAGTAAAATTGAGTGAAATGGCCTGGAGGTGTTGCGATGGTGGTGGCGATCGATGATGGTGAGCAATTGGCAGTGGTGGTCTGTGACCAATTATTTGGTGTCCCTAACTAAGTATTTGGTAGATTGTGACCTAAAAATTTGATAACTTGTGATCGAAAAATAATATGACAACAAATTTGAAAATATGTAACTGATAGAGAAATCGTGACCTATAAGTTTTTTGATCTGTGACCAACGAAATAAATTTTAACCTATAAAATTTTTAATTTGTGACATCGAAAGAGTATATGACCAATTAATTTGATAATGTGTGATTAATAAATAATTGTGACCTATAATTATGTATCTGTTATTATTAATTGTGTAATTGTGACCTTGTTATACTTAATTAATAAATATTTTTAATTAATTAACTAAAAACCCTGATTTTTATATTTTGTAAACTTAAAACGTGATTTTTGAAGTCTCCATACTTAAAACATGGTTTTTGAAGGCAGTATTTGTGAATTGGGAAAAATTCATATGTCGAGTGTATTGTTTACACCAATTCACAAATCAGGTACAAAGTTTAAAAATTCAAAATTCAGGTTTCTGTATAATTAATTGAAAATATTTATTAATTAAATATAATAAAGTCACAGTTACACGATTAATGGTCACGTATTTACTTATTGGTCACATATCATCGAATTAGTTAGTTACAGATTATTTTGAAATCACATATCAAAAAAATTTGTAAATCACAGATTATTTCGAGGTCACAGATAAAAAATTTACAGGTCATAAATTTTTCATTAATCACAGATTAAAAAATAATTACAAGTCATAGGGTCACAAATGTTAAATTTATTGGTCACATATTCTAAATAGTTGGTCACATACACCAAATACCCCACCACCGATCTCGATCCAGCACCATCTTGATAACAAATCATCACCACACAATTGTCGTTTGCACCACACCATCGACTGCACCGCACCAACATTGTCAACAAAACAAACACCAATTCAACAGAAAAACCACCACCACCATACATATCATCGAATTAATTAGTTACAGATTATTTTGAAATCACATATCAAAAAAATTTGTAAATCACAGATTATTTCGAGGTCACAGATAAAAAATTTACAGGTCATAAATTTTTCATTAATCACAGATTAAAAAATAATTACAAGTCATAGGGTCACAAATGTTAAATTTATTGGTCACATATTCTAAATAGTTGGTCACATACACCAAATACCCCACCACCGATCTCGATCCAGCACCATCTTGATAACAAATCATCACCACACAATTGTCGTTTGCACCACACCATCGACTGCACCGCACCAACATTGTCAACAAAACAAACACCAATTCAACAGAAAAACCACCACCACCATTTCAAATTGTGTATAGTTAACACCACCACCATCGCCCTTGCCACCCATCCCATCCACATCCACCATCGCCACTTCCACGACCACGACCACCACCTTACCATCACCAACTAACATCACAATCACCATTACCCAAAAAGTAAGAGAAAACCCACCACCACCGTACCTAAACTCCCATCTAAAATCACCATCGCTAGAACAACAACCCACCAAATCCAATCACCACCAACTCAACAAATCCAGTCGTTGAGACCATCACATCACCATCAAAAACTACCGCGGTTAGAACTACAACCCACCAGATCCAATTACAACCACCACATCACCAAAACCACCGTCACTAAAACCACAACTACACATCACCACCACCTCAACAGATCCAATTGACTGAGAGCACTACGGAACTATCCAGAATTGAATCCCATCAACTATAGTCATAGTGGCATCACTGCACTTGCTACGAACCATCAACTCCATCAGCACTACCACAATCCACTAACGCCATCGAGTTGTGTTACTATAGGCCTTCACTTGTGACTTTAGCAAAGCAAATAAAAGAGACAAATAGAGCTATGGAATCGATGACCTTCAAGTTTGAATCAAGTGAATTGAAGAGTACTTTTCAGATTGAAGACTTTGAAGTTGTTCAGAGAGTCCTCGCAACGTTGCAGCGCCACCAAGCACATACACACCTTCAGCGTGTGTCTCGTTGGAGAAAGCCAGATCTGCAGTACCGAGACATGTAGACGGGGTCAGGGGAGAGGAAAGTGAAGAGAGAGAGTAGGGTTTTTGAAAACGTTATTGGGATGGGTTTGGAATTGAATTGAGATATGTTGATATATTTTATTATTAATAATTAAATCAATGATTGGATATTGAATAAAAAAACTTTTCCATATGATTTTTGCACTATGATCTTTAAATATTTGGAATTTTGTAATGTGAAAATTATAAATTCTAATAGATTAAAAATCACCATTTCAAAAATAAGATGTCATGTTTAATATTTCACAAATCAGAATTTTTTAATTAATTAATATATTTAAAAATTAATCTAATAAATAATAATTTCATAACTAAATTATTCATTTTCTACCTTCTCTCTCTACCCCCGATTCTCTCTGTCTCACCTCTTTCGTCATCGCAGACACGACGACGGCAGATGCAGTAGATCTGAGACAAAATTCAGCATATCCAATAGATGACGGCGACGGAGGATGGCGATACGCTGATATGTACGATTTGTGGCGAGGGTGGATATTTATATCACGACGGTGGATATGCAGATCACAATTTGTGGACATGTCAAATCGTGTGAGGCGGTGGCTTGGTGTGCGTTTGGCTGCAGCATTGAGACGTCGATGTGGGTGTGGTGTATGTGCATGGGTCTGGTGGCGTGTGCGATAGCGGTAATGGTGTGTGGCGATCTGCAAATCGTAGATCTGTGGTATTGGTGTGTGGCGACGACGGTGGTAGCAATGATTTGGGGCGATTGCGGTGCTTGTGGACTGTGACTCCCAATTGTGGTGTTGGTGTGTGGCGCCGACGGTGGTGACGGTGGTGGCGATGATTTGGGGCGATTGCGATGGTTGTGGACTGTGACTCGCAATTATGGTGTTGGTGTGTGGCGACGACGGTGGTGTCAATGAAAATTGTGACTGTGACCGTGTCTGTGACTCACATTTGTGACTCACAATTGGATACATGACCTGAAAATCATGACTGTGACTCACAATCGATTAAGTTGTGAACAAAAAATTAATCATGACCTAAAAAATTAATAATTTGTGACTATTTAATAAGTTGTGACCTACAATGTTTGTGATATGTGATCTATAAATTTTTTTATTCGTGACCTAAAAATAATATGTGACCTATAAAATTTTTGATCTGTAACCAATAATTTGATAAGTTATGACTAAAGATTAATCTGTGACCAATTAATTTTTTGATTTGTGACCAATGAATAAACTGCGATCTACAAAATTTTTGAATTGTGATCGTAAAATAATTTGTGATATAAAATTTCTGATTTGTGACCAAAAAATAATAAGTGATTCATTAAATTGTTAATTTGTGACCAAATTGTATAAATATGTGATCTAAATATATTTAGACCCCATTTGGTACTCTTTTTTTCAAAATGTATTTTTCTCTCTATTCTTTTCAACCACACATTCTTCATTAAAATAATATTACACGTAAATTAAAAAAATTTTCTTATTTTTTAACCACACATTCCCATCAATATACTATTCAAAAATGCATTTTTACATAAAAATGCCTCCTAACACCCTCTTAATTAGTAAAATAATTAATTAATTAAATCATAAATATATTTTAATAAAAATCTAATTTTGAAAATTTGAAACTTATTTTCTTATTTTTAAAATGTGTCATAATTAATCTCTTATTTATGATATTTTCCCTCTTGTAATTTCATCTTGTGAATTTTGCCCTTTTTCCGTTCCTAGAACCCGTAGACACGATGGCCCAAGTCATTTGAGTCCAGTTAAATAACCATATTCGAATCCTGAAAAAAAAAGCCCAATAATTAATACCCCGCTATATAAACGTAACAATCAGCCCTTACAATAACCCTAGCTGCGTTTTTTCTTATTCGTGCGAGTGATTCAGAAGTCCATCATCTGCTGCTCCTGGTCTCGTGAGCTGCACGCGATTTGAATCTGAGCAATGGCGACTGCAAGAACTGTGAAAGACGTCTCCCCTCACGAGTTCGTGAAAGCTTATGCTGCTCACCTCAAGCGTTCTGGCAAGGTATTCTTTTTATTTGCGTAAGAATTTATTTTTCGATATGCATGTAATTTATTTGTGTAAGCTAAGTTTTATCATTGAAACTGTTATGCAGATGATTTCTTGGCGAATTTTGTTCATTTATCGTGTTAGAAATAATCATGCTGTATGTTTTTAGGTAAAAAAAAATGGGGGAGTGAAGTTGGTAGTGATGGGTCAAACCAATTTGAAAAAGCTGTATTTATTACCTGTTGATGGGTATAATGAGGCGTCCTGTAGCCTATATTATCAATGTATTCTGTGAATTTGGTTATTGTTTAGAGGATGGATAACAATTGGCTGTGTGTTCGTGGCTGATCCATATTTAAAAGATGGACTTGAGCAGAGGCAAAATGACACTCAGATTGAAATCTGAACAAAAATGAATTAGGTAGGCTCCAGCATTGGAGCAATAGATCTTTTTATTTTTTTTTAGCTTCGATTGATATAAGCTTCTGAAATACTGAAAGCACTAAATATAAAGAACTGAATAAGTAAATTTACAATTTTGTTGTAAAAATTTAATTTGGTTATGATGTATCTTTTGCCCCTTTAGGACATCCGTTCTCCCTAATTGAAAACAGGAACAATATTAACTCCCAAAAACAACAAAAAGTAGCTGCGATGTTATATCCTCTCTATTATTTAATTGTTGTATCATTTTTCCTAAACAGATGGAGCTTCCCGAGTGGACTGATATTGTGAAAACAGGTGTTCTCAAAGAATTGGCTCCATATGATCCTGATTGGTACTATGTCAGAGCTGGTAATGAGCTCCCTCTCTCTCCTCTTCTTCCATATCTGTATACAAGTCCATGACGTGTGCTCATGTTCTTTTATTTATGGGATTATTCCCGCAAATTAGAAATGAGATATTTATGGGCGGGGGCTTAAAGTAGCAATGGAATGACTATTTTTACTCTGGATGCCTTTACAAATCAAATAAATTAACTGTCTAATAATCAGAATCCTTCAAACTTAATTCAAAACTGAGAGATTATCTTGCTACTGGGATTTCATATTCTGACGAGAGTCATCTATTATTCTATATAATAATCTCTTGGTGGCATATATATACATCTGACAGTATTATTGTCATGCCAAATTTTTATCTTGCATCTTTATCACGTATTTGCAGCTTCCATGGCAAGGAAAATATATTTGAGGGGGGGCATTGGTGTGGGTGCCTTCCGGAGAATTTATGGTGGGAGCAAGAGAAATGGAAGTCGCCCACCTCATTTTGGCAAAAGCAGTGGATCTGTTGCTCGCCACATTCTTCAACAGTTACAGGAGATGAGCATCATTGAGATGGATCCAAGAGGGTGAGTTTGCGATTGCTTGAAATGGACTATAGTTTTAGATATTATGGAATTTAATAGCCTGTGTATGATGACTATTAAATCCAACCGTAATAACCAGTGAAGGGACAATGCTGACAATGCTGACTTTAATATTCAGTTATGATACAATAATAGAAATAATAGATGTTGATCTTACAGAATTTATTAGCTAGGTTTCCCTTGACAGGGTTAGTACGTACATGAGATACCAATGACCCTGATATTTTATCAGTTACACTTCAGCCCCTGTTTGGTTTTGCTAAAAACCTTATATTTAGTAGATTTTGATAAAAGTTGATTAAATGTGTGGTTGAAAAGTTGATAAAAGTTGTGGATGCCCAGAAATGTGTGATTATAATTAAATGATGACTTTGCTTTAGACTTTTATCAGCTTTTTTAGCTAAGACAAAAGGGTTCTTACTATTCAATTTGATACAGTTATAAAAGGGGTATGAGATTCAGATATTACAGAATTTTTTAGCTAAGTTTCCTTTGAGATGAACCTGTATATATCCTGAGATATACTACCGACTGATATTTTATTGGTGAGTTTTACTTTAATATTCTATTTGGAACTGCAGTAGAAATTATAATAGATTTAGATCTCATAAAACTTATTAGCTAGGTTTCCCTTGACATGAACTTATACGTGCTCACAAGATACTCCCGACCCAGATATTTTATCATTTTTTATTTATGGGGCGGTTACTTGTATAATGAATCTAATGCCTGCTAACCTTAACTGTGAAGAACACTTTTCCAAGATTACATGCATTGGTAAATTTCTCCTTATTTCTCTCATTTTTATGCTGCTTTTCTTTCAGTGGGAGAATGATCACATCCAATGGCCGACGGGACCTTGACCAAGTTGCTGGACGAATTGCAGTTGTTGCACCTTGATAGATTAATTAATTATGTGGAGTTGTGAGTTAGAATATTGAAGAGTGTCCTTCGAGTAATCGTAGACAATTTTTGTTTGCCAATGTGATCATGTCATGATGTTTAGACTTAATAGTACTTGGCTATTGAAATTTCTCTTTTTGTAGTTTATATTCACACCTCATTTGCATGTCAAGTTGGTGCAATTTTTAATTTATGCTTGGTTATTCAATATACTGGTTCTTTTAATAATTAGCGTGTTTCATTCCGTTCAAGCAAAATGGGGCTGCAAAGCCTTTTGAATCCAAGTTACTGTGACTTTTATCCACTTGAATGGAATTTATTGTTTTCCATAAATTTGTAATTATATTATCTATATTTTGACAAATATATCGAACACTAAAACGATCTTGCTACATGTACATCAATTTCAAATAGGGCCTTAGAAGATTTAGAGTAGATGACTACCACTCCTCGGATGGGGCTGACTAAGTGAAATAAAATTATGTCCGGATGTTAAATGAAGTTAGGAGTTTTGCTACTTTTGGGGGACATTTGGGGGGACTAAATTGCCACTTGTGTTGGTGGGTGGAAAAATTGTTTCTTCAATCATTTGGCAATTCTGTCACCCCGAGTGTTACTATTGCTAAATTCTGAAGTTAGATATTATGTTAGTATGTTCTTTTCGTGTATCACATGAGAATAGAAAATCGTTAGTCCCCATTTGGGCTCCATTAAAAAGAAATTTTGGAGAATGTGTTTTGAATTGTGATTATATAACGTGTAATTAAAAAATAATGAAAAATTTTGAAATCCATGTGTAAAATAAGAGAATACTTGGTTGAATTTTGAAAAAATAGAGTCCAAATTGGGCTAAGCCTAAAATATGTTATAATTTAGTTTGAAGTCCAGAGTTGGAGATGTGTCTAAGACTACACTGAGCCTTGTAATCTTAAGATTCTCTACAAAGTCAGGTGTAGTTATCGATGGCAATTTGCAAGTTATTGTTGGCCACTTCGAATAGAAGATGCCTTGAAATATTGTAAAACTCAAAAATGGGAACTAACCAAAATATTCATTAAAATTGGAAAGTAGAAACTACCAAAAAAATTCATTGATATCGCCCTCCATTGCGCCAGCAACACAATATGATCTGTCCTTCCCAAATTTTATACAAACTTATTGATTCAAATACAAATGGTGAAAGAAAATAAAAAAACTCAAATTCGACAATTCTATGATTGGCCCCTCACTTCAAGCTTCATTGCAATTGTGTACACAAGTCATTCCCGCACACTTGATCTTCTTATGTTGAGGAATATGGAACTTTGGCTCTTTTGGTATAGTCGGTTGCTTCATCGACCTAAGACAAACAAACATAAACGTTTTATTATTATTATTATTATTATTATTATTATTATTATTATTATTATTATTATTATTATTATTATTATTATTATTATTATTATGCTACAATTTAGACATACTTATGTGAGGAATTAGAACCACAATTAGCTTCTCATTGAATGGATTGATTGGGAATTGGGATTAAATATTCATGTTATTATTATGATAAATGTATTTTTTGCAAATATCAAAAAGTTCAGTCGGACAAAAGAATGAGGGTTGAGGAATGCACAAAATCATTTAAATGCTTAAGCACAATTTAGGTAATTAGCTGCTAATGTATCAGAGAGGTTCATGATTTCAACATACAGGGTAGTTAGATGTTAGACATAACATATATGATGTATACAATTATATAGATAATCGTAAAATTTAATGCATCACTTTGCATATTAATTCGGAATAGGAATATGATCGAATTGTGTTTAAAGATTGGTTTAACTTACCTCATGAAAGATAGTTAAGTAAAATTGAATTATGGATTGAGAATATTCATAATGGGAGAGGTTTAATTCGAAATTTCAATACATTCATCTCATATTTAATTCAAAACCATCTTAAATTGTTAGTATATAATTAGAATAAACACAACAAATTTCTTTTGTGTTATTTAATTCGATTTGTTAGCAAGTTGATACAATTGAATTGATTAATTCATAATTGGATTATAAATCATATTGTTGTTTTTGGTTATTCATGACAATCGTGAATCTTGATTTCTTTTCTACTCTGTGATTTGTGATCTTTTCATGTACTATTCATCAATTTATGTAAGATTTTGACGAGCTCGAGCTTCTACCGTTAGAATCAAGTTCAAAATTAGTTACCCTATATCCAATCAGAGCAGTTGCCAATGACGACGACGTCGTGTCAGTTGGGTACTACTTGATCCCTAAAGATGCTAGTGAATTATGTATATAAGCTATATGAAAGAATAGTAGAAAATCAAGCTATATGACCATCCCTTAGGAGACATCGAAGAAAGTAGTAGGACTTCACATTATCAGCTTTACAAAGAAGATGGACACCTTCAGACATCCAGATGGACACCCTCACTAAAATAGTGTACATGGTGCACCAACTTACATCGATTTGTCCTCACCTTTCTGACTTCACCTTTCTCTCTTTATTACTTTAATTGATTCCGGAATCTATCTACAAGAAATTAGGTTTCGATGAGTCAAAGGAAACTAATGTATCTCTCTAGTTGATAGATCAATCAAGCACCCTCAAAAAGTAGTTGAGGACATGTTCATCAAAAATGAAAATTTCATCTTTCCAGCTGATTTAGTCATCCTTGATATGGGAGAAAACCAAAATATACTAGTAATTTTGGGAAGTTCATCCTTAGTAATTGTGATTGCTTTTGAAAATGGTGAGATTATTATCTTAATTGATTCCGGAATCTATCTACAGGATCACGAAGAGATTGATGATTATGAACTTGTTGAGAGAACCTAATTTTTTTCCTTTTGTTTATTATGCTTTTGAGTTAGTAGGCCATTTATTTACTTTTGTATGCTAGTTAGTTTACCAATGGAAATGTCACAGTCAAGCGGTCCGGACCATCTAGTTTTGGCATTTTTGTTCCAAATCAACCTCCAGATACAAATTCAGGATGTACGTACCTAGTTCCATTCTTTGCCATTTTATTTGATTTATTGACGATATTTTGAGACATTAAGGGCAGTGTTTGATTTAAATTTGGTGTGGAAAAAATATTGAGTATTTAATAAGGGATATTGCACTCATAAAAAAGGAAAAAAGTTACCATAATGCGTAAGTGAAAGCTCTAAAATAAAAGATCCAAACAAGAACACTTTATTGAAAATCTTATAAATAAAACTCAAAAAAGGGGATCAAGCTAATGCAAGAAACAGATTACACACATCAAATGTGAAAAAGTATGTAAACAAAATAGAAGATGGATACATGATTAAGCCCCTAAAAACTTAAGAATATTAGACTTTTGGCAAGGGATAATTAGCTTAACTGAATGTGTTGGATGAAGATGGGCCTTATTTATGTTCTTGATTGATCTTGCATGTCTTGTTTATTTAAAAGTTCCTGATCCGAATCTTGCGCATCTCTTCTTAGAGGGTAAGAGAACGCTAGTGTGGGCCCATTGAATGCCCAAGGAAGCATTCCTTAAACAAATAAAAAATAGGCAAGTCCAAGGGGGTATGATCCCAATAAAGATGGGATGGATCCTTCAGCAATTGTAAATGAAGCATACCAGAAAAGGATTGTCAATAATGGTAGATGGATATTTGACTTCCTTTAGAGAAATACATTCCCTAGAAAATTACTGACTCTCATGGTTCGCTGCTGACTTCCTTTTGTGAGGACTTATTGATCACTCCTTGGGTACATTCCCTAGAAAATTACTGACTCTCATGGTTCACTGCTGACTTCCTTTTGTGAGGACTTATCGATCACTCCTTGGGGAAGTTCCCAATGTACTCCTTGGGAACTTTCCCATATGAAACTCGTGCCCTTTATAAATTAGTGGTTATGTAGCACGGACACTCTAACTAGGAAAGCGTGCATGTGCGCTATATTGACACTCTACAATAATTATTTTTCTTTTTTACTATAACTATTATATATTTTTAACTCAAAATTATTAGTAAATAACAAAAAAGTACTCATATTTAAAAAATTTCAATAAGAAAAATCAATAATAATATAAAAATAAATTTATACTATATGAATGAAGAATATTAAAGAATTTAATTAACATGTCGTGTCAGTACTTTTTTGAAAAATCACGAGTCGACGTATCCGTATCGGACACGCGTGTTCGTATCGGTGCATCATAGATCAGTAGCTTCCTATCAATAGAAATCTCTCTTTCTTCTAGTTGAGCATCTTAAAAGCGACTAACTTCCGTACTACTGGATATTGCTTGTGGCTAAGGTAAGGGGCACTAGGCACTCCTAGCATAGGTTACCTGTCTTTGCTGGTAGACAGATACGCTTAATTAGTTGCTTGAATTCAGAGGGGTGTTTCACTTCCATCAGGAGAATTTCATTGCTCCTATACCACTATGGCAACCTATGAAACTACGGATATTTGCTCATTAACTGAAGCGCTAGTGCTTTTCTCCCTTTTTTAGGTAGGGCTAAGTAAAACGATCCATTTATCGTGATCCAATTCCTTCTTTCTCATATCATTGCGTTTTCCCTTTTTTTCTTATGATCCAATTTTCCTTCTAACAGGACATCGAAATGTGATCAAAGTGCATTTTCTCGGGATTTTTGCTTGTCAACGAAATTCTTGGGACATGGAGAATCAAACTTTTTACCCCATACATTCCCTTTATGTAGATGGACGTGTTGCGATGTGTTGTTGCATTGATTGTTGCAAAATCAATGCAAGCTCGACCTCAGTGCATCCTACTCCAAGGGTGCTTCCCTTATCACTCCCTTGGAATGCCTCTTTCGAGAGGAGATCGAGATTGGAGACTTCTAAAATATCAGCTATATCTGACGACCTTGAAGTGTGACTTTCCTTGATTGATGGCGGAATTCCTAGAACGTGTATGGTACGTGATCAATTAGTTATTCATCGAAGGTACTGAGACGGGAAATAGAATATGGGTAAGATGGTGGAATGCTTAGAAACCGCGTAGTAAAATGATCCAAGATCATTGCATTTTCCCATCTAACGGGACATTGAAATGTGATCAAAGTGCGTTTCCTCGTGATTTTTGCTTCTCAACAAAATTTCGGGACATGGAGAATCGTTCGTTTTTACGTTTACCCAATTCTCTTTCTCCTTTTCCTTTAGCTTTCAACACTAGA